GCCACACTCATGAGAACGTAAGACCGTTTGGTGCATTTCAAAACTGATAAAAAAATTTTACAACCTTTTTGCAAATAACTATATACCGCATACACTGATTGTACATATATTTACGTGTTCGCACGTGTAGAAATTTCAATAAATAAACTTTCATTTACTTCGTAATCGTCAACTTCAAAATTACCGTACTCAATTAAAAAAACATTATATGTAACTAATATCACTGTGACGTAATGATGTATAAACAGCATAACAAAAATTGATAATTTTTAATATCTTTTTACTATTGCAATAAAATCAGTGAAATAACTGCATTTTTAGAGCTAAATCATATTTTTAAAAATTGTCATTTTACAGAGAAAGAAGAAGAATTATCAAATTGAACAAAGTTACTTTTAAAAGGCGCAAAGAACTGTAATCTAATATCTTTCTTCATGCGTGGAGAAATATTTTTATTTTTTCCATAATTTTTAAAAACTGAATATGATCCATATTTCGGTAGTATTATTTATTACAAATAAAAATTCAGAAATGTTGCCTTCATAATTTTCCTATATAATATTTTTTTCACTTTAATATTCGTCGAATGCGACACGAACACGATATCTTCGTAAAATAGATAAAACAAATGACGCCTGTCCAATGCTTTTGCAACTTTCCCACTATTTTCATGTACTTATAAAATAAAAAAATTCACATCGGACTGTGTCGCGTCCAAGCATAATTACACCAACTAATTTCCACGATGCAACGGTATAAAGTTGAAAGTCGTAATTAAACATACGCAAAGCTCGTGAAGGCAGCCGCCAAAAAAGATGCGATTCCCTAAAATTAATACACGCCCCAGATATTAATATACATGGAACTTGTTCCCGGCCATACATTTTCCGAAGATGATCGCATTGCTGTTGAATGATGATAATCAGTGCGTCAGCTGCGCGCTACCAATTATTTGTGGTTTTCTCTTCTCTTTTTTATATTTTCGAATGGGTGACTATGTCGCTATAGTGTGCAGTGAAATAAGCGTTTAACGTGTGGTTCCACCCTGTAGCTTGATTTCCATCGTGTCTGACAAAGATTTAATTATTGCGCGGAAAAAACTGGGTCGCGTGATAATGATCCTTGGGCGAAAAATTACCATGGACAATAAAAAATGTAAAAAAGGTAGAAGATAGTGTTGAAATAAATCAATTTTTATTATGCTACAGAATCATCTATGTGTCGAACGAGATAACGAAATAATTATGTTATAGCATCAACATAACTTTTGTTCCTATTTAATTATTTCATAAAATTACTTTTAATGTCAACTCCGAATGTTACATTGTATTTAATTGCAATATGTTTGCCCGAAAGATGAATTTGAACATAAGTATATGCAATTCCATTCAAAACGAGAAAAAATAGAAATAAATTTAATAAATTAACAGGCAACGTACGCGCACATCTCGAGATAATTTTCATTTGAGCAAAGTGCGTTCTCAAAGTTAAACCTTAATGAAGGACAATTGCGACCTCGGTGGAGATAAGAAACTATAATAATTTAACGTATACGTGAACAACAAAATTACTGAGACTGTACAAAAAGACACAACCTCAATTACGGTCTTCTAACTGTGCTGATCGTTTGATCTATGGAACTGTTGCTCGCAATTTTTTGCAATTGTTTTAAGTGTTTATTAAGAATAATGACTAGTTTAACTAGTAACTAGTAATTAACTTAACATACACACAGAATAAAAATTGACAATTTTTATCCGAAAAAAGACCGTCTGTCATTTTTAATAATTTCAGATACTAATTGGATAATTTTAACTAATTATAAGTGTTAATCTTTTATAATAGTAAATTTTTTGGAAATACCAAAGATAATTTCTTTAATTTCGCAAAAAGAGTAGATAATAAATTAATTGCACTCGTCTTTCTCGCGTCATATTACTTTTCTTTGGAGAAATGTCAATCTCAAGGAATTCTCGAAATAAATTCGTAAGGCGACGGCGACCTTTCGATTTGTCTCCTTACGTCGAGTGATCGTTCTTCAAAGCAAGTCACGTGCGAGTTCCGCGCGTTCTTATGGGTTTGCGTAACGCTTAATCGTCCAACGTCGCAAGAAAAAGAGGGCTACGCGCTCATGGCGCTGCACGTCGTTTCACCCAAGAATACATCGCGATCTCTTCGTAATTTCAGGTTTGTTTCAATTCTTTTTGCGTTGGACTATCGCGTGACAAATAGCCTGTAGCCAGGAGTTTCGCACGCTTGACAGGAACAGCACATTAATTTCCCATTTTTCAAAACGTAGCCACGAGTAAGAAAAATCTCTCTTCTGGAAACTACTGATAGGAAGATTTATACACGTTGCATCCTTAGATACCGCAGATATGTTATATTTTATGAAATTTTAACTTACAGAGATGTTCGTGAACCTAGCATATCATTTTCCAGCAGATCAAAAATAAAAGAGAGTTCTTGTCGCATGCAGTCGAGTTCTATAGTTCCTTATAGTTTTTAGTAATAGTTCTGGTGATTTTATACCAAAAAAACACCAATCGAAAAAATGATCTGCTAACTTCCCGTAGCAGATCATTTTCTAGCAGATCAAAAATAAAAGAGAGTTCTTGTCGCATGCAGTCGAGTTCTATAGTT